GCCCCCACCACATGGTTGCCTGGTTCATGTTGAGCTTCTCCTCACCCAACACCCCCAAGTCCTTCTCAGGCTGCTCCATCCAGGCCGTGTCTCCCTTGGGATTGTCCAAATCCATGTGCAAGGACCTTGCCCTTGGCCCTGTTGATCTCCATGAGGTTCCAGCATGTCTGGCTCCCTCTGGGTCCCATCCCTCCCCTCCAGCTCACCCCACAGAGCTCGGAGCCACCACAACCATGCTGAGGGTGCTTGATCCCACTGCTCATGTCCCCAGTGATGATGCTGAACCCACCACCAGCCCCTGAGGGACACTGCTTGGCCATTGACCACAACCTTCTGCCTGTGGCCATCCAGCCACCACAGGGGACACAACCAAGGGGCCATGACCATGGGTGACATGATCATGGGTGACATGACCAAGGGGACACAACCAAGGGGCTACCACCATGGTGGACATGACCATGGAGGACATGACCAAGGGGACGTGACCATGGGGGACATGACCAAGGGGACACAACCAAGGGGCCATGACCATGGGGGACATGACCAAGGGGACGTGACCATGGGTGACATGACCAAGGGGACACGATCAAGGGGGAAAGACCAAGGAGGACACCCAAGGGGACATGACCATGGAGGACATGACCAAGGGGACGTGACCACGGAGGACATGACCAAGGGGACGTGACCATGGAGGACATGACCAAGGGGACGTGAACATGGGTGACATGACCAAGGGGAAACGACCATAGATGCCACCACCATGGGTGCCACCACCATGGGTGCCACCTCCATGGGTGCCACCCTCAGGGCTTGGTTCTCATGGGATACCCCAACCTCCGACCTCACCAACAGCTCCAGAACGGACCCATTTCAGCTCATTCCCAGCTCGGGAAGAGCCAACGCAACCGGAAGCTGAAGGTTCCCTCGCTCCGGCTCCAGCAGCTTCCTCCTTCGCTCCCGTTTCCCCTTTCTGGAGCTCAGATTTTGGGGAAGTCAAGGCCAAACTCGTGGTCTCTGGTGCTCTCGGGGGTCGTTTCGGGCTCTTTTGGGGGGCTCTGGTTGTCCTGGTGCTGGGGGAGAGGCTGGAAATGGAGCTTTAGAGCTGAAAAGCGAGACAAGAGTGAACAAAGAGCTGTTAAATACCCCCCAAAAGGGCACCTCAACCCCCCTCCCCCACCCCAAAGGGCACCT